ACCCACCCCAACTTACCCAAAGAGTATACAGAAAGGGAAGATCTCGAAGAGAAGGTTGCCTCTAAGGGGTAGGACCTGCTCGTCCCGGATGAGGGAGAGGTTGACCTGGTTGGCGAAGGCCTGGTTGTCGAAGGTCAGCTGGAAGGTCACGTAGGTCGTCTCCAAGATCATCTCCTTCCTGATCAGCTTCACATCCAGCTCTGTGTTGTAGAAGTGACGCGCCACCTGTAGCAGGGTACACGTGTTGTATACTGTAGCGGGGTACAGGTGTACTGTAGCAGGGTACAGGAGTTGTATACTGTAGTGGGGTACAGGTGTACTGTAGCAGGGTACAGGTGTTGTATACTGTAGTGGGGTACAGGTGTACTGTAGCAGGGTACACGTGTTGTATACTGTAGTGGGGTACAGGTGTACTGTAGCAGGGTACACGTGTTGTATACTGTAGTGGGGTACAGGTGTACTGTAGCAGGGTACACGTGTTGTATACTGTAGCGGGGTACAGGTGTACTGTAGCAGGGTACACGTGTTGTGTACTGTAGTGGGGTACAGGTGTACTGTAGCAGGGTACACGTGTTGTATACTGTAGTGGGGTACAGGTGTACTGTAGCAGGGTACACGTGTTGTATACTGTAGCGGGGTACAGGTGTACTGTAGCAGGGTACACGTGTTGTATACTGTAGCGGGGTACAGGTGTACTGTAGCAGGGTACACGTGTTGTATACTGTAGCGGGGTACAGGTGTACTGTAGCAGGGTACACGTGTTGTATACTGTAGCGGGGTACAGGTGTACTGTAGCAGGGTACACGTGTTGTATACTGTAGCGGGGTACAGGTGTACTGTAGCAGGGTACACGTGTTGTATACTTTAGCGGGGTACAGGTGTACTGTAGCAGGGTACACGTGTTGTATACTGTAGCGGGGTACAGGTGTACTGTAGCAGGGTACACGTGTTGTATACTGTAGCGGGGTACAGGTGTACTGTAGCAGGGTACACGTGTTGTATACTGTAGCGGGGTACAGGTGTACTGTAGCAGGGTACACGTGTTGTATACTGTAGCGGGGTACAGGTGTACAGTAGCAGGGTACACGTGTTGTATACTGTAGCGGGGTACAGGTGTACTGTAGCAGGGTACACGTGTTGTATACTGTAGCGGGGTACAGGTGTACTGTAGCAGGGTACACGTGTTGTATACTGTAGCGGGGTACAGGTGTACTGTAGCAGGGTACACGTGTTGTATACTGTAGCGGGGTACAGGTGTACTGTAGCAGGGTACACGTGTTGTATACTGTAGCGGGGTACAGGTGTACTGTAGCAGGGTACACGTGTTGTATACTGTAGCGGGGTACAGGTGTACTGTAGCAGGGTACACGTGTTGTATACTGTAGCGGGGTACAGGTGTACTGTAGCAGGGTACACGTGTTGTATACTGTAGCGGGGTACAGGTGTACTGTAGCAGGGTACACGTGTTGTATACTGTAGCGGGGTACAGGTGTACTGTAGCAGGGTACACGTGTTGTATACTGTAGCGGGGTACAGGTGTACTGTAGCAGGGTACACGTGTTGTGTACTGTAGTGGGGTACAGGTGTACTGTAGCAGGGTACACGTGTTGTGTACTGTAGTGGGGTACAGGTGTACTGTAGCATGGTACACGTGTTGTGTACTGTAGTGGGGTACAGGTGTACTGTAGCATGGTACACGTGTTGTGTACTGTAGTGGGGTACAGGTGTACTGTAGCAGGGTACAGGTGTTGTGTACTGTAGTGGGGTACAGGTGTACTGTAGCAGGGTACACGTGTTGTGTACTGTAGTGGGGTACAGGTGTACTGTAGCAGGGTACACGTGTTGTGTACTGTAGTGGAGTACAGGTGTACTGTAGCAGGGTACAGGTGTTGTATACTGTAGTGGGGTACAGGTGTACTGTAGCAGGGTACACGTGTTGTGTACTGTAGCGGGGTACAGGTGTACTGTAGCAGGGTACAGGTGTTGTGTACTGTAGTGGGATACAGGTGTACTGTAGCAGGGTACAGATGTACTGTAGCGGGATACAGGTGTACTGTAGCAGGGTACAGATGTACTGTAGCGGGATACAGGTGTTGTATACTGTAGCGGGATACAGGTGTACTGTAGCAGGGTACAGATGTACTGTAGCGGGATACAGGTGTTGTATACTGTAGCGGGGTACAGGTGTTGTATTCTGTAGCAGGGTACAGGTTTTGTATACTGTAGCAGGGTACAGGTGTTGTATACTGTAGTGGGGTACAGGTGTTGTATACTGTAGCAGGGTACAGGTGTTGTATACTGTACTGGGGTACAGGTGTTGTATACTGTAGTGGGGTACAGGTGTTGTATACTGTAGTGGGGTACAGGTGTTGTATACTGTAGCGGGGTACATGTGTTGTATACTGTAGCAGGGTACAGGTGTTGTATACTGTAGTGGGGGTACAGGTGTTGTATACTGTAGCGGGGTACAGGTGTTGTATACTCTAGTGGGGGTACAGGTGATGTATACTGTAGCGGGGTACAGGTGTTGTATACTGTAGCGGGGTACAAGTGTTGTATACTGTAGCGGGGTACAGGTGTTGTATACTGTAGTGGGTTACAGGTGTTGTATACTGTAGTGGGGTATAGGTGTTGTATACTGTAGCGGGGTACAGGTGTTGTACTGTAGCGGGGTACAGGTGTTGTATACTGTAGTGGGGTATAGGTGTATACTGTAGTGGGGTACAGGTGCTGTATACTGTAGTGGGGTACACGTGTTGTATACTGTAGTGGGGTACAGGTGTTGTATACTGTAGTGGGTTACAGGTGTTGTATACTGTAGTGGGGTATAGGTGTTGTATACTGTAGTGGGGTACACGTGTTGTATACTGTAGTGGGGTACACGTGTTGTATACTGTAGTGGGGTACATGTGTTGTATACTGTAGTGGGTTACAGGTGTTGTATACTGTAGTGGGGTATAGGTGTTGTATACTGTAGTGGGGTACAGGTGTTGTATACTGTAGTGGGTTACAGGTGTTGTATACTGTAGTGGGGTATAGGTGTTGTATACTGTAGTGGGGTACATGTGTTGTATACTGTAGTGGGTTACAGGTGTTGTATACTGTAGTGGGGTATAGGTGTTGTATACTGTAGTGGGGTATAGGTGTTGTATACTGTAGTGGGGTACAGGTTTTGTATACTGTAGTGGGGTATAGGTGTTGTATACTGTAGTGGGGTACATGTGTTGTATACTGTAGTGGGGTACAGGTTTTGTATACTGTAGTGGGGTATAGGTGTTGTATACTGTAGTGGGGTACACGTGTTGTATACTGTAGTGGGGTACACGTGTTGTATACTGTAGTGGGGTACACGTGTTGTATACTGTTGTGGGGTACAGGTGTTGTATGCTGTAGTGGGGTACAGATGTTGTATACTGTAACGGGGTACAGGTGTTGTATACTGTAGCGGGGTACAGGTGTTGTGTACTGTAGCGGGGTACAGGTGTTGTATACTGTACTCACCTAGTTGTACTCACCTAGTTGTGCTTGCGGGGGTTGAGCTCTGGCTCTTTGGTCCCGCCTCTCAACCGTCAATCAACAGGTGTACAGGTTCCTGAGCCTATTGGGCTCTATCATATCTACACTTGAAACTGTGTATGGAGTCAGCCTCCACCACATCACTTCCTAATGCATTCCATTTGTCAACCACTCTGACACTAAAAAAGTTCTTTCTAATATCTCTGTGGCTCATTTGGGCACTCAGTTTCCACCTGTGTCCCCTAGTGCGTGTGCCCCTTGTGTTAAACAGCCTGTCTTTATCAACCCTGTCAATTCCCTTGAGGATCTTGAATGTGGTGATCATGTCCCCCCTAACTCTTCTGTCTTCCAATGAAGTGAGGTTTAATTCCCGTAGTCTCCCCTCGTAGCTCATACCTCTCAGCTCGGGTACTAGTCTGGTGGCAAACCTTTGAACCTTTTCCATTTTAGTGTTATGCTTGACTAGATATGGACTCCATGCTGGTGCCGCATACTCCAGGATTGGTCTGACATATGTGGTATATAATGTTCTGAAAGATTCCTTACACAAGTTTCTAAAGGACGTTTTTATGTTAGCCAACCTGGCATATGCTGCTGCTGTTATCCTCTTGATATGAGCATCAGGGGACAGGTCTGGCGTGATATCAACCCCCAGGTCTTTCTCTCTCTCGGACTCTTGAAGTATTTCATCTCCCAAGTGATACCTTGTATCTGGTCTCCTGCTTCCTACCCCTATCTTCATTACATTACATTTGCTTGGATTAAACTCTAACAGCCATTTGTTCGACCATTCCTGCAGCTTGTCCAGGTCTTCTTGAAGCCTCAAGCTGTCCTCCTCTGTCTTAATCCTTCTCATAATTTTGGCGTCGTCAGCAAACATTGAGAGGAATGAGTCTATACCCTCTGGGAGATCATTTACGTATATCAGAAACAGGATAGGTCCAAGTACAGAGCCCTGTGGGACTCCACTGGTGACTTCACGCCAGTCTGAGGTCTCACCCCTCACTGTAACTCTCTGCTTCCTATTGTTTAGGTACTCCCTTATCCACTGGAGCGCCCTACCAGTTACTCCTGCCTGTTTCTCTAGACTATGCATCAACCTTTTATGGGGTACTGTGTCAAAGGCTTTCCGACAGTCCAAAAAATTGCAGTCCGCCCACCCTTCTCTTTCTTGTTTAATCTTTGTCACCTGATCGTAGAATTCTATCAATCCTGTAAGGCAAGATTTACCCTCCCTGAACCTATGTTGATGGGTTGTCACGAAGTCTCTTCTCTCCAGATGTGTTACTAGGTTTTTTCTCACAATCTTCTCCATCACCTTGCATGGTATACAAGTTAAGGACACTGGCCTGTAGTTCAGTGCCTCTTGTCTGTCACCCTTTTTGTATATTGGTACTACATTAGCAGTCTTCCATATTTCTGGTAGGTCCCCCGTTTCCAGTGACCTACTATACACTATGGAGAGTGGTAGGCAAAGTGCTCCTGCACACTCTTTCAATACCCATGGCGAGATTCCATCCGGCCCAACAGCTTTTCTCACATCCAGCTCCAATAGGTGCTTCTTGACCTCATCTCTTGTAATTTCGAACCTATCCAAGGTCACCTGGTTTGCTGCCACCTCTTCTAGCGCCGCGACATCTCCCTGTTCTATTGTAAAGACCTCCTGGAACCTTTTGTTGAGTTCTTCACACACCTCTTTGTCATTCTCTGTGTACCTGTCCTCGCCCACCCTAAGTTTCATCACCTGTTCCTTCACTGTTGTCTTCCTCCTGTAGCGGGGTACAGGTGTTGTATATTGTAGACCATGGTACAGGTGTTGTATACTGTAGCAGGGTACAGGTGTTGTATACTGTAGACCATGGTACAGGTGTTGTATACTGTAGCAGGGTACAGGTGTTGTATACTGTAGCGGGGTTCAGGTGTTCTATACTGTAGTGGGGTACATGTGTTGTATACTGTAGTGGGATACAGGTGTTGTATACTGTAGTAGAGTACAGTTGTTGTAAACTGTAGTTGGGAACAGGTGTTGTATACTGTAGCGGGGTACAGGTGTTGAATACTGTAGTGGGATACAGGTGTTGTATACTGTAGCGGGGTACAGGTGTTGTATACTGTAGCAGGGTACAGGTGTTGTATACTGTAGCAGGGTACAGGTGTTGTATACTGTAGTGGGGTACAGGTGTTGTATACTGTAGCAGGGTACAGGTGTTGTATACTGTAGTGGGGTACATGTGTTGTATACTGTAGTGGGGTACAGGTGTTGTATACTGTAGTTGGGTACAGGTGTTGTATACTGTAGTGGGGTACAGGTGTTGTATACTGTAGCAGGGTACAGGTGTTGTATACTGTAGTGGGGGTACAGGTGTTGTATACTGTAGTGGGGGTACAGGTGTTGTATACTGTAGCGGGGTACAGGTGTTGTATACTGTAGCGGGGTACAGGTGTTGTATACTGTAGCGGGGTACAAGTGTTGTATACTGTAGTGGGGTACATGTGTTGTATACTGTAGTGGGTTACAGGTGTTGTATACTGTAGTGGGGTACATGTGTTGTATACTGTAGTGGGGTACACGTGTTGTATATTGTAGTGGGGTACAGGTGTTGCATACTGTAGTGGGTTACAGGTGTTGTATACTGTAATGGGGTATAGGTGTTGTATACTGTAGCGGGGTACAGGTGTTGTATACTGTAGTGGGGTACATGTGTTGTATACTGTAGTGGGGTATAGGTGTTGTATACTGTAGCGGGGTACAGGTGTTGTATACCGTAGTGGGGTACATGTGTTGTATACAGTAGTGGGTTACAGGTGTTGTATACTGTAGTGGGGTACAGGTGCTGTATACTGTAGTGGGGTACAGGTGCTGTATACTGTAGTGGGGTATAGGTGTTGTATACTGTAGTGGGGTACAGGTGCTGTATACTGTAGTGGGGTATAGGTGTTGTATACTGTAGTGGGGTACAGGTGTTGTATACTGTAGTGGGGTATAGGTGTTGTATACTGTAGTGGGGTACAGGTGCTGTATACTGTAGTGGGGTATAGGTGTTGTATACTGTAGTGGGGTACAGGTGCTGTATACTGTAGTGGGGTACACGTGTTGTATACTGTAGTGGGGTACACGTGTTGTATACTGTAGTGGGGTACAGGTGTTGTATACTGTATTGGGGTACACGTGTTGTATACTGTAGTGGGGAACAGGTGTTGTATACTGTAGTGGGGTAGATGTGTTGTATACTGTAGTGGGGTACAGGTGTTGTATACTGTAGTGGGGTACAGGTGTTGTATACTGTGTGGTGTTACCTGTGTAGTTTTACCTGTGTAGTGTTACCTATGTAGTTTTACCTGTGTAGTGTTACCTGTTTAGTTTTACCTGTGTAGTGTTACCTGTGTAGTGTTACCTGTGTGGTGTTACCTGTGTGGTGTTACCTGTGTGGTGTTACCTGTGTAGTTTTACCTGTGTAGTGTTACCTGTGTAGTGTTACCTGTGTGGTGTTACCTGTGTGGTGTTACCTGTGTAGTTTTACCTGTGTAGTGTTACCTGTGTAGTGTTACCTGTGTGGTGTTACCTGTGTGGTGTTACCTGTGTGGTGTTACCTGTGTAGTTTTACCTGTGTAGTGTTACCTGTGTAGTGTTACCTGTGTGGTGTTACCTGTGTGGTGTTACCTGTGTAGTGTTACCTGTGTAGTTTTACCTGTGTAGTGTTACCTGTGTGGTGTTACCTGTGTGGTGTTACCTGTGTAGTGTTACCTGAGTAGTGTTACCTTTATGGTGTTACCTGTGTGGTGTTACCTGAGTGATCTGGCCCATGGTGTAGTGTTACCTGTGTAGTGTTACCTGTGTGGTGTTACCTGTGTTGTGTTACCTCTGTGGTGTTACCTGAGTAGTGTTACCTGTGTGGTGTTACCTGAGTGGTGTTACCTGAGTGGTGTTACCTGTGTGGTGTTACCTGAGTGGTGTTACCTGAGTGGTGTTACCTGAGTGGTGTTACCTGAGTGGTGTTACCTGTGTGGTGTTACCTGAGTGGTGTTACCTGAGTGGTGTTACCTGTGTAGTGTTACCTGTGTAGTGTTACCTGAGTGGTGTCACCTGTGTGGTGTTACCTGAGTGGTGTTACCTGTGTAGTGTTACCTGAGTGGTGTCACCTGTGTGGTGTTACCTGAGTGATCTGGCCCATGGTATAGTGGGCGTAGTCTCGACGCTTGGAGCGGTAGTGAAGCAGCATGCCGGCGCTCGTCTCCCCGTCACAGAAGAAGGAGGGCGGCTGCATGCGCGGGTACGAGAACTTGAGGTACTCGTGCAGGTTGTCCAGACCTGTGGGGGAGTGGGGCATGATGGGCATAGTGGGGGCATGATGGTTGGTGATGGGCATAGTGGGGCATGATGGTTGGTGATGGTCATAGTGGGGCATGGTGGCTGGTGATGGGCATAGTGGGGCATGATGGTTGGTGATGGTCATAGTGGGGCATGGTGGCTGGTGATGGGCATGATGGTTCGTGATGGTCATAGTGGGGCATGATGGCTGGTGTTGGGCATGATGGCTGGTGATGGGCATGCTGGGTTTTGGTGGGCATAGCGGGGCATGATGGCTGGTGATGGGCATAGTGGGCCTTGATGGGTTTTGATGGGCATAGTGGGGCATGATGGGCATAGTGAGGCATGATGGCTGGTGTTGGGCATAGTGGGGGGCATGATGGCTGGTGATGGGCACAGTGGGGGCATGGTGGCTGGTGATGGACATAGTGGGGCATGATGGCTGGTAATGGGCATAATCGGGCATGATGGGTGGTGATGGGCATATTGGGGCATGATGGCTGGCGATGGGAATAATGTGGCATGATGGGTGGTGATGGGCATAGTCGGGCATGATGGCTGGTAATGGGCATAGTGGGGGTGGGGGGTGATGGCTGGTGATGGGCATAGTGCGGGTAGGGGGTGATGGCTGGTGATGGGCATAGTGGGGCATGATGGCTGGTGATGGGCATAGTGGGGGCATGATGGCTGGTGATGGTCATAGTGGGGCATGATGGCTGGTGATGGGCATAGTGGGGGCATGATGGCTGGTGATGGGCATAGTGGGGCATGATGGCTGGTGATGGGCATAGTGGGGGCATAATGGCTGGTGATGGGCATAGTGGGGCATGATGGCTGGTGATGGGCATAGTGGGGAGCATGTTGGGTAATGATGGGCATAGTGGGGCATGATGGCTGGTAATGGGCATAGTGGGGGTAGGGGGTGATGGCTGGTGATGGGCATAGTGGGGGTAGGGGGTGATGGCTGGTGATGGGCATAGTGGGGCATGATGGCTGGTGATGGGCATAGTGGGGGCATGATGGCTGGTGATGGTCATAGTGGGGCATGATGGCTGGTGATGGGCATAGTGGGGGCATGATGGCTGGTGATGGGCATAGTGGGGCATGATGGCTGGTGATGGGCATAGTGGGGCATGATGGCTGGTGATGGGCATAGTGGGGCATGATGGCTGGTGATAGGCATAGTGAGGCATGATGGCTGGTGATGGGCATAGTGGGGGTGGGGGATGATGGGTGGTGATGGGCATAGTGGGGCATGATGGGTGGTGATGAGCATAGTGAGGCATGATGGGTGGTGATGGGCATAGTGAGGCATGATGGGTGGTGATGGGCAAAGTGGGGATGGGGCATGTTGGTTGGTGATGGGCATAGTGGGGCATGATGGGTTTTGATGGGCATAGTGGGGATAGGGCATGATGGGTGGTGATGGGCCTAGTGGGGCAAGATGGCTGGTGATGGGCATAGTGCGGGTGGAGCATGATGGCTGGCGATGGGCATAGTGGGGGCATGATGGGTGGTGATGGGCATAGTGGGGCATGATGGCTGGTGATGGGCATAGTGGGGCATGATGGGTGGTGATGGGCATAGTGGGGCATGATGGCTGGTGATGGGCATAGTGGGGCATGATGGGTGGTGATGGGCATAGTGGGGCATGTTGGCTGGTGATGGGCATAGTGGGGCATGATGGGTGGTGATAGGCATAGTGAGGCATGATGGCTGGTGATGGGCATAGTGGGGCATGATGAGTGGTGATGGCCATAGTGGGGGTGAGGCATGATGTTTGGTGATGGGCATAGTGGGGCATGATGAGTGGTGATGGGCCTAGTGGGGCATGATGAGTGGTGATGGGCATAGTGGGGGTGAGGCATGATGTTTGGTGATGGGCATAGTGGGGCATGATGAGTGGTGATGGGCCTAGTGGGGCATGATGGGTGATGATGGGCATAGTGGGGCATGATGAGTGGTGATGGGCATAGTGGGGGTGGGGCATGATGGCTGGTGATGGGCATAGTGGGGGATGGGGCATGATGGCTGGTGATGGGCATAGTGGGGGATGGGGCATGATGGCTGGTGTTGGGCATAGTGGGGGATGGGGCATGATGGCTGGTGATGGGCATAGTGGCGGATGGGGCATGATGGCTGGTGATGGGCATAGTGGGGGATGGGGCATGTTGGCTGGTGATGGGCATAGTGGGGGATGGGGCATGATGGCTGGTGATGGACATAGTGGGGGATGGGGCATGATGGCTGGTGATGGACATAGTGGGGCATGATGGCTGGTGATGGGCATAGTGGGGGATGGGGCATGATGGCTGGTGATGGACATAGTGGAGGATGGGGCATGATGGCTGGTGATGGACATAGTGGGGGATGGGGCATGATTGCTGGTGATGGACATAGTGGGGGATGGGGCATGATGGCTGGTGATGGACATAGTGGGGGATGGGGCATGATGGCTGGTGATGGACATAGTGGGGGATGGGGCATGATGGCATGTGGGGGATGATGGACATAGTGGGGGATGGGGCATGATGGCTGGTGATGGACATAGTGGGGGATGGGGCATGATGGCTGGTGATGGACATAGTGGGGCATGATGGCTGGTGATGGACATAGTGGGGGATGGGGCATGATGGCTGGTGATGGACATAGTGGGGGATGGGGCATGATGGCTGGTGATGGACATAGTGGGGGATGGGGCATGATGGCTGGTGATGGACATAGTGGGGGATGGGGCATGATGGCTGGTGATGGACATAGTGGGGGATGGGGCTGGTGATGGACATAGTGGGGGATGGGGCATGATGGCTGGTGATGGACATAGTGGGGCATGATGGGGATGGGGCATGATGGCTGGTGATGGACATAGTGGGGGATGGGGCATGAGGCTGGTGGGACATGTGGGGGATGGGGCATGGGCTGGCTGGTGATGGCTGGTGATGGGCATAGTAGATGGGGCATGATGGCTGGTGATGGGCATAGTGGGGGATGGGGCATGATGGCTGGTGATGGATGGGGCATGATGGGCATAGTGGGGGATGGGGCATGATGGCTGGCGATGGACATAGTGAGGGATGGGGCATGGGGGATGATGGCTGGTGATGGACATAGTGGGGGATGGGGCATGATGGCTGGCGATGGACATAGTGGGGACATAGATGGCTGGTGATGGGCATAGTGGGGGATGGGGCATGATGGCTGGGATGGACATGATGGCTGGTGATGGACATAGTGGGGGATGGGGCATGGCTGGCGATGGGCATAGTGGGGGATGGGGCATGAGGCTGGTGATGGACATAGTGGGGGATGGGGATGGACATAGTGGGGGATGGGGCATGATGGCTGGTGATGGACATAGTGGGGGATGGGGCATGATGGCTGGTGATGGACATAGTGGGGGATGGGGCATGATGGCTGGCTGGTGATGGGCATAGTGGGGGATGGGGCATGATGGCTGGTGATGGACATAGTGGGGGATGGGGCATGATGGCTGGTGATGGACATAGTGGGGGATGGGGCATGATGGCTGGTGATGGGGGGCATGGGCTGGGATGGACATAGGGGGGATGGGGCATGATGATGGGTGGGGGATGGGGCATGATGGCTGGTGATGGACATAGTGGGGGATGGGGCATGATGGCTGGTGATGGACATAGTGGGGGATGGGGCATGATGGCTGGTGATGATGACATAGTGGGGGATGGGGATGGCATGATGGGCACATAGGGGGGGGATGGGGCATGATGGCTGGTGATGGACATGTGGGGGATGGGGCATGATGGCTGGTGATGGACATAGTGGGGGATGGGGCATGATGGCTGGGCTGATGGACATAGTGGGGGATGGGGCATGATGGCTGGTGATGGACATAGTGGGGCATGATGGCTGGTGATGGACATAGTGGGGGATGGGGCATGATGGCTGGTGATGGACATAGTGGGGGATGGGGATGGCTGGTGATGGGCATGGCTGGGCTGATGGACATAGTGGGGCATGATGGGATGGGGCATAGATGGGGCATGATGGCTGGTGATGGACATAGTGGGGGATGGGGCATGATGGCTGGGGGGATGGGGCATGATGGCTGGTGATGGACATAGTGGGGGATGGGGCATGATGGCTGGTGATGGACATAGTGGGGGATGGGGCATGATGGCTGGTGATGGACATAGTGGGGGATGGGGCATGATGGCTGGCGATGGGCATAGTGGGGCATGATGGCTGGTGATGGACATAGTGGGGGATGGGGCATGATGGCTGGTGATGGACATAGTGGGGGATGGGGCATGATGGCTGGTGATGGACATAGTGGGGGATGGGGCATGATGGCTGGTGATGATGTGGGGGATGGGGCTGGTGATGGGCATGATGGCTGGGATGGACATAGTGGGGGATGGGGCATGATGGCTGGTGATGGGACATAGTGGGGGATGGGGCATGATGGCTGGTGATGGACATAGTGGGGGATGGGGCATGGCTGATGTGATGGCTGGTGATGGGCATAGTGGGGGATGGGGCATGGGCTGGTGATGGGGATGGCTGGTGATGGACATAGTGGGGGATGGGGCATGATGGCTGGTGATGGGCATAGTGGGGCATGATGGCTGGTGATGGACATAGTGGGGGATGGGGCATGATGGCTGGTGATGGACATAGTGGGGGATGGGGCATGATGGGTGGTGATGGACATAGTGTGGGGCATGATGGCTGGTGATGGGGCATAGTGGGGGATGGGGCATGATGGCTGGCGATGGGCATAGTGGGGGATGGGGCATGATGGCTGGCGATGGGCATGGTGTGTAATAAACACAATGTGTGAGTATTAATAATAGTAATACTAATAATAATGATAAAAATTAACTAATAGTAATGATAAATTAACTGGAGCATAATAAGGGGGGGGGAGGGTGTGAACCAGCATGACGGGTGGTCCCAGGTCCTCGCCTTAAACCACTGAACAACGACCCGCTGTAACTAATGTAACCTTAGAATCACCTGAGTTCACTAGGGGGGTCTTGAGGCCTCGAACTGATACCAAATCTTGTGTCTAGTCATTACACGCCTACACCCTAGTGTGGTACCGTCCTCTGACCAAGTCCATTCCATCCAGCGGTCGACCCTAAAGATGCATTCATCGATTTTAACTTTCTGTTCATTCAAAACAGGAATTTTCTTTAAGTTAAGATAAATTAATATTATTTTTTATTACCATATTGTTCATATTTAGGCACTGGTTAGGTGAGGTTAGGTTAGGTTAGGTTAGGTTAGGTGAGGTTAGGTGTTTAGGTTCTGTTGGCGATTATTTGTATTTGTAGTACGTGGGTGAAGCATTTACAGCGTTGTGGTTCGAACAAAAGTCGTCAGTGAAGTACTTGTTCCGGAAGTGTTCGAAGCATGGAATGGACTTTGGGTCTCTGTTTAGATGACAGGCTGGATTACTTATAGCGTATCATGGTTCCTTGGTTTAATAAAGGCATACGCTTGGCAGTACCCATGTTGCTGGTTTGAATCCCCCCTTATGGTTCAATTGATCATCACATCGATACATCACATTAATGTGATTTCCTGAGTAATAATAATAATGTTGAATAATTTATGTGTTTGGAAGGGGTGACTCTGAGAAGAAAAACTCCCCATTATGCGGTCATTTCGGGCTCACCATAGCCCGTGCTACTTGGAACTTTTGTTCCGAGTAGCGAATCTTAAACAACAACAACAATCCCTATAACGTGTTGAGGCAAGCATGTACAACGTCACGGCATGATTAGTTTCATTGCTAATTGTCTCAACATCATAACTTTCTGATATAAATTGGGCCGATACAAGTGTAACCGCTGTAATGTTAAGCCACACTGTACCTCACCATACATCACAGTTCATAGTGGTAGTTAAGTGTGCCGCACTTTATCTAAGTGGGATTTAGCATGTTGGTGTAGTGGCCGGCGGCGTGGGCATGGCGCTGGGGCTCTGAGTCTCTGCTGAAAGGTTACTCCTCTGGTTGAACTACCTACACTTCATGCGTTTACTCACCTCTGAGGAAGTCCCCTCACGTGTTTACTCACCTCTGAGGGAGCCCCTCGTGTTTACTCACCTCTCGAGGGAGTCCCTCGCGTGTTTACTCACCTCTGAGGGAGCCCCTCATGTGTTTACTCACCTCTCGAGGGAGTCCCTCGCGTGTTTACTCACCGTTGAGGAAGTCCCGCACGTGTCTGCCCAGCACGGAGAGGACGCGGTCGTACCCGTACTGGCCGACGAAGTCGACGAAGAACTCTCCCATGCCGAACATGAGCTGCTCCTTCGTCACCCCCAGCACCTGCAGGAGCACCACCAACCCTTTACTGAGAGGTGCTACGCTGGGGGAGGGAGGGAGTGGTGTGGGAAAGGGGCAGGTGGTGTGTGAGGGAGAGTGGCAGGTGGTGTGGGAGGGAGAGTGGCAGGTGGTGTGGGAGAGTGGCAGGTGGTGTGTGAGGGAGAGTGGCAGGTGGTGTGTGAGAGAGAGTGGCAGGTGTGGTGTGGGAGAGTGGCAGGTGGTGTGTGAGGGAGAGTGGCAGGTGGTGTGTGAGGGAGAGTGGCAGGTGGTGTGGGAGAGTGGCAGGTGGTGTGGGAGGGAGAGTGGCAGGTGGTGTGGGAGGGAGAGTGGCAGGTGTGGTGTGTGAGGGAGAGTGGCAGGTGGTGTGGGAGGGAGAGTGGCATGTGTGGTGTGGGAGGGAGAGTGGCAGGTGGTGTGGGAGGGAGAGTGGCAGGTGGTGTGGGAGGGAGAGTGGCAGGTGTGGTGTGGGAGGGAGAGTGGCAGGTGGTGTGGGAGAGAGAGTGGCAGGTGGTGTGTGAGGGAGAGTGGCAGGTGGTGTGGGAGGGAGAGTGGCAGGTGGTGTGGGAGAGTGGCAGGTGGTGTGTGAGGGAGAGTGGCAGGTGTGGTGTGGGAGAGTGGCAGGTGGTGTGGGAGGGAGAGTGGCAGGTGGTGTGGGAGGGAGAGTGGCATGTGTGGTGTGGGAGGGAGAGTGGCAGGTGTGGTGTGGGAGGGAGAGTGGCAGGTGGTGTGGTGAGGGAGAGTGGCAGGTGGTGTGGGAGGGAGAGTGGCAGGTGTGGTGTGAGGGAGAGTGGCAGGTGGTGTGTGAGGGAGAGTGGCAGGTGGTGTGTGAGGGAGAGTGGCAGGTGGTGTGGGAGGGAGAGTGGCAGGTGGTGTGGGAGGGAGAGTGGCAGGTGGTGTGGGAGGGAGAGTGGCAGGTGGTGTGGGAGGGAGAGTGGCAGGTGGTGTGGGAGGGAGAGTGGCAGGTGGTGTGGGAGGGAGAGTGGCAGTGTGGTGTGGGAGGGAGAGTGGCAGGTGGTGTGAGGGAGAGTGAGAGTGGCAGGTGTGGTGTGGGAGGGAGAGTGGCAGGTGGTGTGTGAGAGAGAGTGGCAGGTGGTGTGTGAGGGAGAGTGGCAGGTGGTGTGGGAGAGTGGCAGGTGGTGTGGGAGAGTGGCAGGTGGTGTGTGAGGGAGAGTGGCAGGTGGTGTGGGAGGGAGAGTGGCAGGTGGCAGGTGTGTGTGGGAGAGTGGCAGGTGGTGTGGGAGGGAGAGTGGCAGGTGGTGTGGGAGGGAGAGTGGCAGGTGGTGTGGGAGGGAGAGTGGCAGGTGGTGTGGGAGGGAGAGTGGCAGTGTGGTGTGTGAGGGAGAGTGGCAGGTGGTGTGGGAGGGAGAGTGGCAGTGTGGTGTGTGAGGGAGAGTGGCAGGTGGTGTGGGAGGAGAGTGGCATGTGTGGTGTGGGAGGGAGAGTGCAGGTGGTGTGGTGTGGGGAGAGTGGCAGGTGTGTGTGAGGGAGAGTGGCAGGTGGTGTGGGAGGGAGAGTGGCAGGTGGTGTGGGAGGGAGAGTGGCATGTGTGGTGTGGGAGGGAGAGTGGCATGTGTGGTGTGGGAGGGAGAGTGGCAGGTGGTGTGGGAGAGAGAGTGGCAGGTGGTGTGGGAGGGAGAGTGGCAGGTGTGGTGTGAGAGATTGGCAGGTGGTGTGTGAGGGAGAGTGGCAGGTGGTGTGGGAGGGAGAGTGGTAGGTGGTGTGGGAGAGAGAGTGGCAGGTGGTGTGGGAGGGAGAGTGGCAGGTATGGTGTGGGAGGGAGAGTGGCAGGTGGTGTGTGAGGGAGAGTGGCAGGTGGTGTGGGAGGGAGAGTGGCAGGTGGTGTGGGAGAGAGAGTGGCAGGTGGTGTGGGAGGGAGAGTGGTAGGTGGTGTGCGAGAGAGAGTGGCAGGTGTGGTGTGGGAGGGAGAGTGGCAGGTGGTGTGTGAGGGAGAGTGGCAGGTGGTGTGGGAGGGAGAGTGGCAGGTGTGGTGTATGAGGGAGAGTGGCAGGTGGTGTGGGAGGGAGAGTGGCAGGTGTGGTGTGGGAGATTGGCAGGTGGTGTGTGAGGGAGAGTGGCAGGTGGTGTGGGAGGGAGAGTGGCAGGTGGTGTGGGAGGGAGAGTGGCAGGTGTGGTGTGGGAGGGAGAGTGGCAGGTGGTGTGTGAGGGAGAGTGGTAGGTGTGTGAGGGAGAGTAGCAGGTGTGGTGTGTGAGGGAGAGTGGCAGGTGGTGTGTGAGGGAGAGTGGCAGGTGGTGTGTTAGGGAGAGTGGCAGGTGGTGTGGGAGGGAGAGTGGCAGGTGGTGTGTGAGGGAGAGTGGCAGGCGGTGTGTGAGGGAGAGTGGCAGGTGGTGTGGGAGTGGCGGCTCAGGGAATACATGAAATACTGAATACTTATCCCAGCACTATGCGAGCATTATGACCATATATTCCACTTTTGGAATGAAAAGCCTTTCCAGCCGTCTATCTGTCGATTCCTCTAACCATTTATCTGCCGGTCTATCTATCCGCCTATCAATCCATTCGAACTATATATAACCATCTATCGATCCATCTGCTTGCTCATCTAGCTATCCATCCATCCACGTGTCTATCCACCTATGTATTAATGTATCAATCTGGCTTTCCTTCAAAAGGCATTTCCTTTCCTCTCTCTCTCTATCCATATAGCTATTCTTCTATCCATCCAACTATCGATCTATCTATCTATCCATCTACTGTCTGTCTCGGTGTCTACCTGTCTCTTTGTTTCTACCTTGTGTCTTTTTGTTTTTGTCTCGGTCTCTGTCTATCTGTCTGTTCCTCTTATACAAAATATAATTGTCTAGTGTGTGGGTGTTGACCCATGAGAGGAGACCTCAGCAGTGTGAAATATTAATACAAGAATAGTTGCCCCTTACCCTGGTAAAGGCTCGAGGCTCCAGAAACCTTGGCAGCTGTCATTTTATGCCAGTACGGACAAATTATTGACAGCAGGAAATTTCTGTTAATTTTCCCCCTGATTATTGTATAATGATGCATATTACTATAAGAATTAGTTTTCTTAAGTTTGCTTTGGAAATATTTAGCAGTGTATGTGGCGGGCAGTGGCATAAAATGGTCGTGGGGGTGTGTGTGTGTCCCTGGCACGCGGTTCCCTTTTGAAATCTAGTAACCCTGACCAGCCTATGATCATCCCGTACACCAGACCATTCCCTCTGCTAATTTGGGTGAGGTTAGTCCCAACCGTGTGGACTTTAACTTTGGACAAACAGACAGATACATTCTCCTTTATAAATATATCCTGTGAATCCTAACACACCTGTCAGTCTATTATTAATGCTCCGAGCAATCGTGTAAATGCAAGGGGCCAGATTCACGAAAGCACTTACGCAAGCACTTACGAACGTGTACATCTTTCCTCACTCTTTGACGGTTTTGGTTACATTTATTAAACAGTTTGCAAGCATGAAAACTTGCCATTCAACTGTTGTTATTGTTATAAACAGCCTCCTGGTGCTTCGGAGCTCATTAACTGTTTAATAATTGGAAACAAAGCCACCAAAGATTGAGAAAAGATGTACAGGTTCGTAAGTGTTTGCGTAAGTGCTTTCGTGAATCTGGCCCCAGGTCTCCAGGACAGATATTAAGGGATTATAATGCATTAAGAATTGATGTTTCCATAGTAATCTCTCTCAATTTCCATTCATGTGAATGGCAAAAGTTATCTTTAGTCGGAAATAAATTAGACTTCACCGTAATCACTTGGAATGGTCGGTACCGCTAAAGCCTCGCTTCTTGCGGGTCAGCGTTCAATCCCCCGATGATTCAAGTAGTTGATGGGTGTCATACCCTTTGCAAGTGTTTTATAGTCATACAGGCTTAGTGCCTTCTGGTAATTGACTTGAGGGGAAAAGCACCACACAGATATGGAATTAAGATTAAAGAGACGTGATGTATGGAGCGGGAGAGTGGGAAGAGTCTGCAGGTGGAGGAGCCGGACTCTTTAAGGCAGAGTTTTGTGATCGTCGTTAATGAGACAACTTTACGTGATAAAATAGAACCTCGCAGATCACCACTGTTAATGGAAAAAGACGCAGAGAGAGAGAGAGAGAGAGATTAAAATGAATTAAAACGGAAATTCTGGATAATGATTAGAAACACGATAACACAAACAAATATTAGGAATATATAAATATTGAGTAAATATTGGGTAAAATATTGGGACCAGAAGACAGACAGACAGAGAGACAGACAGAGAGACAGAGAGACAGACAGACAGGCAAGGAGATGAGATAAACTCACCTTGTTAGCCGAGGCCATGATGTTAGGAATGAGGTCCTCCCTGTAGACCTTGTGGGTACTGAAGACTACCTGGTCGATGTTGGCCTCGTGTCGGATCTCCTCCCACTTGTCCTCACCATACTGCGCCTTGATGAACTCGCTCAGGTTCTCCAGCAGTAGGCCGTACATGGCAGCCCTTGCAGCAGCAGCAGCAGCAGCCCTTGCAGCAGCAGCAGCAGCAGCCCTTGCAGCAGCAGCAGCAGCAGCCCTTGCAGCAGCAGCAGCAGCAGCAGCTCTTGCAGCAGCTCTTGCAGCAGCAACAGCAGCAGCAATGGCAGCGAGGAACCCCAGCCTGCGGGCGGATAAGAGCCTGGTTGTAGTACATGGCACAGCTGCGTCAGGTGGCGTGTGGATGAGCTGACAATTAAATAAATTTGTTCTTTTTCCTATAAAGTGGCGGTTTTATATAACATTCTTTAGGATAAATTATACACAAAAATTATAAGCATTATTTATTAATAACTCTGATGGTTTCATCAGGGAAAGATCTCGGGTCACCTTCATCTTGAATTAATTAAGAAATAACTGAATATAATCCAGTTGGTCCCGTGGTTCCTTGAAGCAAATAACCCAACAACTCAATTATCTTAGCAATAAGGCTCTAGGCGTCAGCCTTGGAGAAGGTATTAAGAAGCTTGTGGGCCTTGTCTGCATCCTTTACCACCTGTACACCCAGGGGGGGGGGGGGGTCAGTCTCCGGTGATGTTAGTGGGACCCCCACACCCGGGGGTCAGTCTCTGGTGATGTTAGTGGGACCCCCACACCCGGGGGTCAGTCTCCGGTGCTGTTAGTGGGACCCCCACACCCGGGGGTCAGTCTCCGGTGCTGTTAGTGGGACCCCCACACCCGGGGGTCAGTCTCTGGTGATGTTAGTGGGACCCCCACACCCGGGGGTCAGTCTCCGGTGCTGTTAGTGGGACCCCCACACCCGGGGGTCAGTCTCCGGTGATGTTAGTGGGACCCCCACACCCGGGGGTCAGTCTCCGGTGATGTTAGTGGGACCCCCACACCCGGGGATCAGTCTCCGGGGTTGGCAGTGGGACCCCCACACCCGGGAGTCAGTCTCCGGTGATGTTAGTGGGACCCCCACACCCGGGGATCAGTCTCCGGTGATGTTAGTGGGACCCCCACACCCGGGGTCAGTCTCCGGTGATGTTAGTGGGACCCCCACACCCGGGGGTCAGTCTCCGGGGTTGGCAGTGGGACCCCCACACCCGGGAGTCAGTCTCCGGTGATGTTAGTGGGACCCCCACACCCGGGGGTCAGTCTCCGGTGCTGTTAGTGGGACCCCCACACCCGGGGGTCAGTCTCCGGTGATGTTAGTGGGACCCCCACACCCGGGGGTCAGTCTCCGGTGCTGTTAGTGGGACCCCCACACCCGGGGGTCAGTCTCCGGTGATGTTAGTGGGACCCCCACACCCGGGGGTCAGTCTCCGGTGATGTTAGTGGGACCCCCACACCCGGGGATCAGTCTCCGGTGATGTTAGTGGGACCCCCACACCCGGGGGTCAGTCTCCGGTGATGTTAGTGGGACCCCCACACCCGGGGTCAGTCTCCGGTGATGTTAGTGGGACCCCCACACCCGGGGATCAGTCTCCGGTGATGTTAGTGGGACCCCCACACCCGGGGGTCAGTCTCTGGTGATGTTAGTGGGACCCCCACACCCGGGGGTCAGTCTCCGGTGCTGTTAGTGGGACCCCCACACCCGGGGGTCAGTCTCCGGGGTTGGCAGTGGGACCCCCACACCCGGGGTCAGTCTCCGGGGTTGGCAGTGGGACCCCCACACCCGGGGGTCAGTCTCCGGGGTTGGCAGTGGGACCCCCACACCCGGGGGAGTCTCCAGTGTTGTCAGTGGGACCCCCACACCCGGGGCAGTCTCCAGTGTTGTCAGTGGGACCCCCACACCCGGGGGTCAGTCTCCGGTGATGTTAGTGGGACCCCCACACCCGGGGGAGTCTCCAGTGTTGTCAGTGGGACCCCCACACCCGGGGGTCAGTCTCCAGTGTTGTCAGTGGGACCCCCACACCCGGGGGTCAGTCTCCGGGGTTGGCAGTGGGACCCCCACACCCGGGGGAGTCTCCAGTGTTGTCAGTGGGACCCCCACACCCGGGGGAGTCTCCAGTGTTGTCAGTGGGACCCCCACACCCGGGGGTCAGTCTCCGGTGATGTTAGTGGGACCCCACACCCGGGGCAGTCTCCAGTGTTGTCAGTGGGACCCCCACACCCGGGGCAGTCTCCAGTGTTGTCAGTGGGACCCCCAAACCCGGGGGTCAGTCTCCGGTGCTGTTAGTGGGACCCCCACACCCGGGGATCAGTCTCCGGTGCTGTTAGTGGGACCCCCACACCCGGGGGTCAGTCTCCGGTGCTGTTAGTGGGACCCCCACACCCGGGGGTCAGTCTCCAGTGATGTTAGTGGGACCCCCACACCCGGGGGTCAGTCTGCGGTGCTGTTAGTGGGACCCCCACACCCGGGGGTCAGTCTCCGGTGTTGTCAGTGGGACCCCCACACCCGGGGGTCAGTCTCCGGTGTTGTCAGTGGGACCACCATCACTATTTTCATGTGTAAAAATCGGAGTTTTCGGAGTCAGTACTCTAATTTATACATGACAATAGTGAAAGTAACAGTCTGCCATTCCTGGATGTACTAATAACAAAAACAGGAACCTCTTTAAGCACCAACGTATATACTAAACCCACCATCATAGGATTATGCCTGAACGGTAGGAGTGAGTGCCCCCAAAGATACAAAACCAGTGTTCTTAATGCTTTTATTCGTCGAGCGCTTACCCACTGCTCGGAATGGAGCAACGTGAGTAGAGAGTTTGAAAGAATAACTCAGGTATTGGTGAACAATGGTTATAGCAACACGGAAATAAACGTTGCTATAAGAAGACATCTGGACTGATGGTACAATCCTGAACCTAGAACAGAAACCACAACACCTCCAATAAAATTATTTTACAAATCAACTATGCACAATGAACATAATAAAGAAGAAAGAATAATGAAAGAAATAATCCATAAAGGAGTAAAAAGCACTACTCCTAACCAAAACATAGACCTGATCATATTCTATAAAACCAAGAAGACTACCGAACTCCTTATCAAAAACAGCCCGAAGCCGACAGAGAACCCTCTACAGCAGTCAAGCGTTGAATACATGTACACTTGCCCCCACGAAGGAAGTAACCTTCAATCTAAGTACATAGGTATGACGTCGACCAAGCTGACGAGGCGTTTGACCTGTCATCTTCAATCCGGTGCCCGCAGGAATCACATGAGACAAGTCCATGACATCACCCTAACAAGAGAAATGTTGATTAAAAATACCTGTTTAATAGACAAAACCCAAGATGTAAGACGATTACAAATTCTTGAAGAAATGCACTTAAAAATAGAACAACCTTCCATAAATACCCAAATTACGGAACTATTCACTCTACTCACCAAGAGAGTGGTACAAGAACAAGTTCTGGAACAAGACCAGAACGTGAAGATGCCAACATAGAAAATACTGCTCAACATGCCACGTCCACTACACCTGATTAATCTTTGTATGTGTTTTGTACCCTATTTAGCCTTATTCTACTCTTTTCTCCTTTATGCCTTATTTTATACCCATATGTATACCCATTGTTCAAACCACTTGTATTAACCTGACCCACTAATAGTATAAATATAATGTCCTGTATCGTAACATCACTTGAGAATGAACCATGTAGGTTCGAAACGTTGTGTAAATTTTATGATAAGTGTAATACATTCTATAGTTATTCATTTCTTTTTCTTCACCTCGAACGAACATGACTTTTGGAGAAGTACTCTTCCAATTAAACCCTGATGCAAGAGCACTAGTCAGAGGGATAGAAGCCCTAAACCAGAAAATAATGAATTCAGAATATGCAGTCACCAGACTAGTACCCGAGCTGAGAGGTATGAGCTACGAGGAGAGACTATAGGAATTAAAACTCACTTCGTTGGAAGACAGAAGAGTTCGGGGGGACATGATCACCACATTCAAGATTCTCAAGGGAATCGACAGGGTAGATAAAGACAGGTTAACACAAGGGGCACACGCCCTAGGGGACACAGGTGGAAACTGAGTGCCTATATGAGCCACAGAGATATTAGAAAGAACTTTTTTAGTGTCAGAGTGGTTGGCAAATGGAATGCATTAGGCAGTAATGTGGTGGAGGCTGACTCCATACACAGTTTCAAGTGTAGATATGATAGAGCCCAATAAGCTCAGGAACCTGTACACCTGTTGATTGACGGTTGAGAGGCGGGACCAAAGAACCAGAGCTCAACCCCCACAAGTACAATTGGGTGAGCACAATTAGGTGAGTTGTAGCCGGACCACAGTAACAACATGAGGCCACGGACAGTGGCGATAATTCGAGCAGATGATATGAAAAATGGGAGTGTGAGGAGGGGGAGAGGGGAGGCCATTGTGTGCACCGGCCTGATGCTCGTCCAGATTAATTATGCCACAGTGAGTTAATTGTGGTATAGTGGCTGGGGGTCCCGTCCAGACTCTCCTCTCGGTGCCACTCCACACACTGCTCCAGTGTGTGTGTGTGTGTGTGTGTTTGTGTGTGTGTGTGTGTGTGTGTGTGTGTGTGTGTGTGTGTGTGTGTGTGTGTGTGTGTGTGTGTGTGTGTGTGTGCGCGCGCTCCTCGCCCAGCTGTGTTTTGGATTATTTAACTTCATCTCCTGGGCCCCGAATCTTAGCCTTAATGTACTTTATCATATCCACACATAAAGCCATGTGTAGTGTCCCTCCGGTGGTGATCGAATACTGCTTTTGTTCACTTTATCTTTGTCATAATATTTTATACTTGGTGATCATGTCTCTGGATTTTTCCTCCAGAGACTCCTCGAGATTGTTCTTGTATATCGCGAATATTATTTCTAGTATCTAGTTTGAGAAAAACCTTTGATCCTTTTAAATGTCCCTTTGTATTTTATTAAATATAGGTTCCATGCCGGTGCTGCATACTCCGTAAATGGTCTAACATTCGTTTTGAAGTATTCTTTCATTAGGTTCCAAAAGAGGGTTTTTTTTCCTAGCTGAACGCTGTACTTACCTTCCCTCAGTGTGTGTGTGTTGCTTTCTGGCTTTCTGTTTCCATTTCCCATTCTCACAGCATTGCATTTGTTGGGTTAAACTTTACAATCCACATGTTTGTCAACTCTTGCATTCTATTTAAGTCCCCCAGCAGCAT